CTTCCGTTTAGTACTACGTGATTGCCAAGGTCTAACGCCGTCGCTAACACAATTCGGAAATGCATCTCGCGTACCGGAACATGTTATAAGGAGCAGTAAGTGACTATAGGAAGATGAATAAAAGTCGATCAGAGATATGAACGAAAGTTTGAATTTATCACGAAGCAGAAGACGTACTTGCCGGAAACCATCCTGGCATGTTTTAGGCCAATTTTCTGGTCCAGTGTGCTCCCGATACCCCCAGTGGTGATGGCCTCCTTCACCTGCTAACGATCCTACAACATGTTAAAAACATGAGGGGTAAATAGACTTGTCATTGCTAGATACTAATTCATCCAACTCTAGTTGAAAAATCCTGAGTAATAAGGCAGTTGTTTCATCACCTGAGTCATTTTCTCATCACTAACATCGAAATAAGGAAGTCATTTGAAATTACCTTTGATTATGAATGGCAGTATGAGCAGAATCTTCATGGCGACCTGTAATTCATTGCAGCTTTCGGGAAAAGAAATTCACCCATGAATTCATAATTTAAAAGTTGCTGCTGACACTTTGATAACGAGGAGAATTTATCTCGCATTGGTATTGATCTTGATATCTAACATGAACAGTGTTACTATTAACTGTACTTTGAGGCAATGAGTTGAAGAGTGAGCAGATCGTTGTGACTATTTGCTTGTGTTTGAGTTTCACGAGGTTTCTGTTTGCAGTGCAAGTTATCGCTGGAGAATATAATCCGCATGTAAGTGAAAAGAGGTAAAAGGATAACCTATTCACCTGTGAAAAAAATGACAAAGACGCACAGATTGCATTTTGAGGATGAGCAAATGGACGCCAACACAAAACAGTATAATACTCTTCAAGAGACTAGATAACGAAAGTAATTTAGCAATATGGGAAATAATTTCATTCAAGTGCTAAGTTCAAAGTAAAAGAGTACTGAAGGGTGTCTGGGGTATCATAAATTACGAGAGCAAGTTGTTAGGCGTTATCTGACCACTGAATCGCGACTTATGATATAGTGACTGGTGAAAGAACACACTCAA